TGGAATGATGTAAAAACGAGCGTTCTTGCTCATTTTGCTTCCGAGAAACATGCAAAACGGGACGGAAAACATGAAATTTTGCAATAATCTTGCGCTACCCTTGCGCAAAACGACTATCATTTTTCTAATTTCATAGATAACAGAAGACTGTATTTTTTCCACATAACCTCCCCTCCTTGACTTTAAAGCTGGATCCGCCCCTGTTGGACAGAAGTATTAAAATTATCAGGTAAAAGTTGGCAATCTTTAGGTCGAAGAGGTAAAACACAAAACTAAATTTCAGTCATTCTTATTTTGTGAAACTTCTCCCGCAGTAAGCAGTAAAACGCACATATTCCACCAAAATGTCTTTCCTGTTCTAGACATTTCGGTCGTAAATTGAAGCCCAGATATCAGTACATCTTCGTAAATTTGTTTGTTCCATGGCAAAAGCTCGCTGGTAAACAGCAGTCAAGAGAAATATATGACCAAAGTGTTAGTGAAGACCTTTCGCTTTCATCATTACAAATTTACATTTAAAAATAAAAAACCATTCGATATTTTGGTAGGATTATTAAAATGTTGATAATTCATCTTCTCTCATTTGCTGAACGCATTTATTTATTTATGTAAATTTTCCTACAGTTCTTTGGCATTTTAAAATAGAATAACACAGTAATAAGAAACTTTTACAAGATCAAAATAAAATATCAGCGAAACTATTTAAATATAATTCAGATGTTTAAAAAAACTAAGTTAAAAGTCTATGAAATTGCTCTGAGGATGACAAAACCTATACAGATGGCAAAACGACGGCAAAAAAACGCTTTTGCTTTTTCAATCGACCCAAATCTCGTTATTAAATTAAAATTAACCATTGAGAAAAATTAAAAAAAAACAGAATCGTTTTTTATACATTTGAAACTTGATGTAAAAGTTTTTGTTCAAAAGAATGACAACGGGACTTTCGAGAATTTTGGTAAATTGTTCGTGTTCCCATTTTTACCAGTCACAAAATATTGAAAAAAAACTCAAACTACATCAATCTATTGATTATTATTGATTTTGTTGGCGGGAATATTGCTCGATTTTCGACTTATTCTAGCTATTCATATCATTCTTCAAATCTTTTCCCAAATACTGATTTTTTACGTGTGTTTAAGCGGACTGAATTGAACTATAATTAGATAAAGTTGTCAATTTTTCTTGAATTATTGATTCTTGGAATGTTTTAAACTATTTCAGTGTATGTTACTAATATTTCGAAAATATATTTGTCGTACAAGATTCAAGTTTAACAACAAAACCCACTTTACTTCAAGCACACATAAAAAAATGTATTTTCATTGCTGACAGTTTTCGCATTTTCAGTCTTTTTTGGACTCGGGCAGACAATGTAGATGCTTGGTCTCAAATCAAAATGAACTTCCGCGGTTATCTCATACAGGAAACTAGCAGATCGTTCCAGCTTTCGAGCAGTAAAGTAGGTGTTGTAGAGGCCCTGTTACGATGGTAATAACCATCAAGAGCCGTGTTTGTTCAACGTCAAGAAAAAAGACCAGCGATATTATAATGGGCAGTTTCGACTCTTTGATGCCGTTAGCTATCTGGGATGGCGTAGTTGATTATAGACATAAATTGGAATTCCTGCTATTTCGAATTCTCCCAACTAATGTTTGCTGTCCCTACTCGGATTGCGTTTCTTATTGCCAACAAAACGTTTTCTCACTTTACGCCACTTTACTAAACAAACGCTATGCAAATTCGGGATATATTTGATGTGAGATAACTCCAACACTTCCTTTCATATGACTTTTCATTTCGTTTAACCAAATTAATGCATAAAAGTCGCTGCGCGTTCAAAATTCTCTAACGTTTAATTGAGCAATTACATGATGAATTTAATGGAATTTTCCCACTAACGGCAGAGGAAACAATTAATTTGATCATCAACCTAGAATGAGACTTCTTATTATTTTTGACATTACGGTTGGTTAATGGTTCATGCACTTAATGAAAAAAACGGAATACAACGGAAACAAACGGTTAATAAATATGTGGAAACTGTTAAGAAATTTTTCAAAAACTGCATCTGTAGTAGAGCAAACCAAGATGTATCAAGGATAGTTTATTTAAATTAAACCTTTTTTCGAGTGGATGTTGTGACAACAAATGTCCAGATGCAAATAACACTTAGGAAACCTAAAGGATGCGAACTAACCCAAACATAGACGAGAAGCTGGTTGAATCGTCCTGATTATTTCAAAATAGAGAATTGTAGGCTAGCAAGGGCGGATCCATGATCATCCATCCAGTCATAACCCCCCCATTCAATTCTCTATCCAACGATGCCAAAACGAATTATGTGGCTCAAATGGTTCTTGAGAAACTTCGAAAAAAACAGCGTCATGTTCAAGTGGATTTTGCAACTCAAAAAAAAACCACGCAAATCTAAAACTTCTTGAATTCAAGCATTTTTTGAGAAAACTGCCAACATTTCCTTATCGATGGTTCACTTTCTAAAAAGGCCATTTAGTTCTCTTTGGAATGATGTAAAAATGAGCGTTCTTGCTCATTTTGCTTCCGAGAAACATGCAAAACGGTACGGGAAACATGAAATTTTGCAATCATCTTACGCCACCCTTGCACAAAACGACGATAATTTTTCTAATTTCATAGACAACAGACTGTATTTTTTCTACATACCTACCCCCTGAATTTAAAGCTGGATCCGCCCCTGTAGGCTAGTTTAGAAACGTTTTCAGGAAAAAGAAACAAGAAAAAGTGTACGAAAAAATTAAGTTATTTTGAGAATGTTTAAGTTTTCAAAATCATTGAAATTAAAAATACAGTCTACTTCAATGCAATATGCAATATTCTACTTTCTTCAGCGCTCTTTATCCACCTTAGGTGTTTGAAATAAAAACCAATTAAAAATAAGATCTCCATCGCATTGTTTTACTTGTTAATCATTAGATTGCTATTGACAGGCTGCGATTTTAGACTCAAAAACATTCAAAAGCAATCAAAATAATCAAAATTGGCAATCAACGAAAGTATTATCGGTTAAGTCCTTGTATCCATTACAACTTTCATCAAATACACATTAAGATATTTATTACATTAAATTACTAGTCAATTGTTAAAGGCAACGTCGACTCTGGTTCATCTAAATACACAATGCATTCCAGAGAATAGATACATCCCACTGATGTTGGGATTTTATGCAAATGAGTCACAGCTCGTTTAATTAGAATAATTGGCGAGATAATTGGTCGTGTCGCGAATTTGTCGAGCAAAACGGTAGGCCACAAGGTTGTCAACAGATATTTTGTTTCCCAAAATTCATTTTGAACACCATTTCCATGAGATATGGGCAAGAAAGTGGGCACAATCAAGGAGTATTCTATGAATATTAAGTAAGCGTAGCTCTCGATTTTTCTATTTTATTGCAAT